TAATCCACTATTCGGCTATACTGTGCCACCAGGCTCAAGTAGCTTATAAAGTTTTGAATTCATATTTTGCTCATAGCTCGCACCTAAAGCCATATTATTTCAATATAATTATAAAATTAAAGGTATTTTTATTAGTTTAAATTTTATGCAATAATTAAAATTATGCCCCAAAATAGGTACTTATGTTCATCGAAAGGTTGGGTCAGAAAAGGGTTGGCTTTTACTGTTGGCGAGTGTTTCTTATCACCCGTTTCCGTGGTTACGAAGTATTCATAAAAACATATAATTTTAAAATTTTTATTTTAACTTTTTTAACTAAATATAATATAATTTAATTGCAGATATTGGCTATGATGGCGTTATTATTCTTAAAAATTATCGATATTTCAAAATAAATAGTTCAGGGGACTTATTATATAAACGATCCCTTACTTATCCAAACGTTTAATGAATGCCCTTTTATAAGCCTTTAACGGTTAAATGAGAGACCTCAACAATATTAAAAACAAAAAATGTGTAGAATATATTTTATGTATTTTATATAGATTATCAGTAGATAAAGTTCTTTACATACAGAAATATCATTATTATTTTTACCATAGAAATATACCAGATAAAATATACATTTCTATTTATATTAATGTGTTTGTTTTAAAAATTATTTAAGTAAACTTAATAGTACTTAATACTGTAGTAGTAGGACAGTTAGTATAGAATTGTAGTGGTTAATACTGTAGTAGTTAATAGTTATCTGTATCCGTCAACGTACTAATGAAATTATTTTGATAATATTTGAGCTTATAATTGCTCACTTATAATAACTAAATTAAAATGTTAGTAGTTGTATAAATTAATATTATTTGTAATCCTATGTGTATTAAAATATTAATTAATTAATTATTGTTTATTTCTGTTGAATAATTGATAATGTTAAATATCTGTAAACACATTACAGTACTGCGTATAATATAATTATTTAATTATTTAAATGTTTTGGAGATAATGAAACATTGTAATGCTATTATAATAAATAACAATATTTTCTCAAATATTCCACTGAATATTAGCAATTAGTAATATTACATAAACAATAATTACACTATACAGTGCTGAGCAGTAGACTTTTGATGCCTTTAACAATATATTTCATAGATTTCAGTATATTTCAGTCCTTCGTTATCTTTAAAAAATTAGTAAAATAAATGTTTAAAATGTTTATTTTAACATTTTTGTCAAACAGTTAAAGTTTTATCTGTTATGGTCAGTTACCTATAATTAATACTTTCCTATTGATAAAGGTACGAAAAGATTACCAAGGATTAAGGCTTAAGTTCATATCAATTGAAAATCAAAAATTTTGGTCAAATTAATATCAGATTAAGTTTCTAATATTTGTTTAAATTATTAAACAAACATTTATTTTACTAATTTTTTAAAGATAACGAAGGACTGAAATATACTGAAATCTATGAAATATATTGTTAAAGGCATCAAAAGTCTACTGCTCAGCACTGTATATAATATACACTATATTATACCTATTATGATTCTTAATGGAAAAGTTTATTGTACACAGGGCTCTACGATAGGCGGCGTTTTCTTTACTACATCACACGATCATCAGATTAGTCTTAATCTTGTGATTTTACATTTTTGGATATGTTTTACATTTTTGGACATGTAAACTCAAAAAATATATTTTAATAAAATTTTAAATATTTGGCAATATTTTATCATCAAATATTGTATAAAGTACTCAATAAATAGCTTCGTATAAGTACTCTGGATAATCAGCTTAGACTTAGAATAAAAGGGCCAAAAGATGTTTCAGAACTTCCTGCATATGATCTTAGCGAAGAATGGCTCAAAACCCATGATATTCCTAAAGGTATAATTATTTGTCTTATATAACTACGGTATTTAATATATTATTTTTCTATTAGAACCCCACCAAGAAAGTTCCACGTACAAATTAAAATGTAAAATTCAACAAATTTAATATTCTGTTTGTTAATTTTATCCATAAAGTATTGTTACATTTTTAATGATTATAAAGATTAAAATCAGAATTTAATAAAAAACAGGTCTTATCGTTTTTGTTTGATACTTATTGGATATTTTATAAAATAATTGGGGATAAAATAGTGCTATATATTAAAATTTTTATTAAAACGTATTTTTTGAATTTACATGTCAAAAATGTAAAATCAGAAGATTAAATTGGAAGCATCGTGAAGTGAAAGTAAATTTAGTGGTTATGATTGCCATGATTAGTTAGCCAATAACAAAATTAAAATTTTGAATTGACTAAAGTTGGCCAATCAAGTAAATTAACTTGTTAAATTCACGTTCAACCATCACTGACATCCTCATTTTGTCATTGAAATGACATAAAATCTATGGATTCTACATAAAATGAATGTTAACTGTTATGTGCCGTCAAATATAACATAATTCCAGAAATGATTACCAATAAATGAACACAAAATACTATTATAACATTGTATTCAATTAAATTTAATGTCATTTCAATGACAAAATGAGGATGTCAGTGATGGTTGAACGTGAATTTAACAAGCTAATTTACTTGATTTGCCAATTTTAGTCAATTTAAAATTTTAATTATGTTATTGGCTAACTAATCATGGCAATAATAACAACTCAATTTACTTTCACTTTACGATGCTTCCGATTAAGACTAATCTGATGATCGTGTGATGTAGTAAAGAAAACGCCGGCTATCGTAGAGCCCTGATTGTACAGTACATACAGTATATTTATAATTATCATAATAATTATTACTTTAAAATATCATATAAAAAAGGTTGTAATCTAAACTTAAACTTAAATTATTAGTTAAAAATATTATAGTAGATTGTAATATTAACAAAACAATGGATCTTGAAAATAAATGCATTAATTTTTGTAAATGATCTACAGCGCATTATGGTTTTGTTTTATTAAATTCTGACAAGCAACTTTATGATTATAACAGGTTAATTATATTTTATGGAAAAATTGATGTGCCTAATTATAAAGTAATAATATTTTACAATATGTATAATGAATGTAATGATGTACTGTATATGAAATATAATGTAAACTCATTTTACTCTCAATCTGGCCAAAAGTAGCCTATATCCCGTAGTTTATAATGAATAGTACTTACAACTGCAACTGTATTTATGTAAATGCAACTGGGTACAACGCATAGCCCAGAGCTCGTACTTCTGTTGTATAGTCGTGTGTCAGTGGATGGACGTCATTGTCTCCAAGACTCGCAGGGTTTCCATATTCACGCAACAAATGGGGTATTCATACATACAGCCATTATATTTGAAAATATGAAAAATAGCATTACATCCCTGTCCCTATACAGTAACTGGGTGCTCAACTTCAGTATATTCTTTGAGACGGGACTGGCGGTGCTATTCTGTTATACCCCGGGCTTCAACACTGTGCTAATGTTGCACTTTTCTAAAACAAAATTTATTTATTAATCTGAAAGTATCAGTTACTTTTAATTAAAAATCATTAATTTATATTTTGCTACTTATTTCTAAATTAGTTTTTTTATTTACTACATAAGCTATACCATATACAGTAACTGGGTGCTCAACTTCAGTATATTCTTTGAGACGGGACTGGCGGTGCTATTCTGTTATACCCCGGGCTTCAACACTGTGCTAATGTTGGCACCCGTAATAGGTAGGCATATATTTTATATGGATACGTATGGTATTTAATAAAATGAATATGACCTAGGTTGGGTGTGGTTATGCGGAGTTCCCTTCTTTTTCTATATACTGGTCTACGAGGAGCTCCGGAAGTTTATTATCCGTCGGTTCCCCAACTCATTCCTCGCCCACGAACTGCTCATTTAATTTAGCTTTCGATTAAAATATGTTTATTCTGTTTGCTTGATCAGTTACGTTGTATTTCATTGAATTGTATTATTAATTGAATTATTTTATTTTTGTGTTATACTTTTTAAGAAGTAATAATATTCAATACATTGTACCCCATTTATTTTGTAACTACCTATAATTTAAATAAACATTACTGAATTATTGGCTCATCAAGTTATTTATAAGCACTTTAGTGCCGAACTATTTTTTAAAATCAAATTGTTTATCATTGCTTATAAAGTTAGTTTTGTTAATGTTAAATTATTATTTCTTTTTTACGGTGCTAATCGTCTTTTTAATTAATATCCATTAATATAAATATTATATTTAACTTACTTGTTAAATGTCAATTAAAAGCACAGTAATTGTTATGATTATTAAACACTGAAAATATTTAATGTTTTATTTTTATGATATTATGTAATTTATTATTTTTTAAGGTTATTTTAAACTTCATAATAAAAATATAAATAAAATTAAAAAATATAAATATTGTGAAAAATAAATGAATACCTGTAAATATATCTAAAAATACTGTATAAATCTTTATTACTGGTATATTTAGTCATCTAACATCTTATTTTATTTAATAACAGGCCTTTAATGTTTATTAATGTGCAGAACTACAGGTGCTATTAGTGTTGTATATATATATAATATCAGTAAAAGATATACCAAATGATGGTCTGCTTTAATCCTTTGAGAAAGTGGTTGAAACTGCTGGACGAGTAAAGTATAAGTGTTTACTAGGATTTTATATGTGGTTTCATTGTACTATAATTGAGACTAATAATACATCTACTTTTGTCAATATTAATAACTTATTTTTATATAAAAAACTAATGAGTAATTTATAGTACAATGTATGCCACATATAAAATCCTAGTAAACACTTATACTTTACTCGTCCAGCAGTTTCAACCACTTTCTCAAAGGATTAAAGCAGACCATCATTTGGTATATCTTTTACTGATATATATATTTCAATTTATGCAAATAACCAATGTTGTTGTGTTATTTTATTTTCTAATTTTGTAAAATATTATTTCAATTTTTATATTTGTATTCTTCAAATAAGCCACATAATTAAATAAAAATATTATCATTTCGCTTTCGATATACAGTATTGTAATTTATTATATTATTACAAATTTACTACAAATATATTACAAGTGAAAATAACAAAAGAACAAAAATAAAATAATTAATTTATAATAATAAGCTATAATTTATTATCATATAGTTTTATTAACTTTTAAAACGAACTTTTATAATTACCTTGTAATACGCTAATGATATTTTCTGGAAATAATTATGAAACTAAATATTAAGTTATAATATCTTTAGAATATTAACTAATCGTAATGCAAAACATATTAACATTTTACGTCAATCCATTAAATATTTTAATTAAGTTTTGAAATTTAATTGCTTATATAATGGCAAACCTAATTTACTTAATAATTATGATGTTATTCAAGTAATTAATTAAGTTTAGTTTGAATAACGGTAATATTGTCTCATAAAGATATATCAAACTTACATTATATTTTACTATATTTGTAGATTAATAAACATATCCAACATTAAAATGGATTTAAGCAATGAATACGACTTAATCAAATTAAATACAGTACTACCTGGCTCATTGACCATTGCGAGAGCCGGTACTCATCTATACAGTATTGGTCTCTCTCACTATAAGCCCCCAAATGCCACAACACGTCCACTCATGTATAGCCCAATTGCAGTAACCGTTGGCTTATTAGTGTTACTCATAAAGCAAATCGTATTGATATTACTTCCCGAACAGAGTCCCGAGTTTTACGCAATGGTTGGAGACGTCCCGTACTTTTCGGGCTTAAGACTACAAAACTCTGTGGCGATGTTATGCGGTCTGACTATAGCCCTGTCCTCACAACTACTCACTTACTATAACCATCGGAATGACATAAAACCCACGTTTTTAACGGTATTCTCGATGCTATCGGGTTTGAAATCACCGGAAAACATTGGACTTCACGACAAACTACTTGTTTATAAATTAATTGCTTTCAGCCGTAGATTAATGACATTTGCAGACTTCATGGTTAAGATTGTAAATATAGTCATTCTTATTTTACCCTTTTCATTTTTCCTGATTAATATGACCAGTAAACAATTTATAATGTATGGCATACCACACCTTCTATTGTTTGTCTGGGTATGCAATAATCTAAACAATATAATTGTCTGGCAATTAATATACTACGTTATTATCGCAAAGTATTTGGCACTACAATTGCAATCAATTAACCAGGACATCATTTTAAATATCGGTAAAAAACGAGTAATGAATGTAAAGCATATAATTCGTAAGCTTAATACCGTTTGTCACACTATTCATGAATATAATGTCAATTATTGGTCCAAATTTTTGGCAATCTATTGCATCGTAATGGCACTCCTTATTATTGTTGCCCTTTTTGTCGCACTATACATGCATACGATATTGTTTATAAAAATAATATCATTACTAATATATTTAGAGTTTATGCTAACCCTGCTCTTTATAATCCACTATTCGGCTATACTTTGCCACCAGGCTCAAGTAGCTTATAAAGTTTTAAATTCATATTTTGCTCATATCTCGCACCTAAAGCCATATTATTTCAATATAATTATAAAACTAAAGGTATTTTTATTATTTTAAATTTTATGCAATAATTAAAATTATGCCCCAAAATAGGTACTGGTGTTCATCGAAAGGTTGGGTCAGAAAAGGGTTGGCTTTTACTGTTGGCGAGTGTTTCTTATCACCCGTTTCCGTGGTTACGAAGTATAGAACATACAATTTTAAAATTTTTAATTTTACCTTATTTAAACAAATATAATTTAATTTAATTACAGATATTGACTATGATGGCGATATTATTCTTAAAAATTATCGTTATTTCAAAATAAATATTTATTTATATAAATATTTTAGGGGACGTATTATATAAATGATCCCTTATTTATCCAAACGCTTAATGCCTTTTTATAAGCCTTTACCGGTTAAATAGTGACAACTAAAATATTACAAAACAAAAAATATATAGTTCATAATTTATATATTTCATATAGATTATCAATAGATAAAGTTATTTACATACAGAAATATCATTACTATTTTTACTTATTCAAATCACTTGTAAATGTGCCATTTCTAGACATTTTCATATTATGTGTAGAATTAGAGTATTCAAATATTCACGAACTCGAATATACATAAACAATAATTACACTATATACCTATTATGATTCTTAATGGAAAAGTTTATTGTACAGTACATATATTTATAATTATCATAATAATTATAACTTTAAAATATCGTTTAAAAAAGGTTGTAATTTAAACTTAAACTTAAATTATTAGTTAAAAATATTATAGCAGACAGTAGATTGTAATATTAACAAAACAATGGACCTTGAAAATAAATGCATTAATTTTTGTAAATGATCTACAGATAGCTCATTATGGTTTTGTTTTATTAACTTCTGACAACTTTATGATAATAACAGGTTAATTATATTTTCTGGAAAAATTTATTTGCCTAATTATAAAGTAATATTTTGCAATATATATAATATAATGTTACATTATTAATGTATGTAATGATGTAATTATATTACTACATATCTCTAGAATATTATTCTAAGTCGTTCTGTAATACATATTAAATACATATACACATCAATCCATTAAATTGTTTAATTAAGTTTTGTTTTGTTTAATTATTTATTCTTAGTTTTAATATAATACAAACACATTTTTTATACAAATCTCTTTCATTTAGATAAACAGGGTGTAAATCATGAAACATTCTCCGGCATATAATACAAAAAAGATTATCTTCGGGTTTTATCCGACAACCTTTTTCATAATGACAAAATTGATATTTTAAAAAGTAATTAAACAAGACCAGAACTCGGACCCGGACACTTTAGTATTCCGCAATTATTTTCAAACTAAAGGTTTGAAGTAATTCAGACCAAAATTCCTGGAGAATCCCGGATAAAACTATTTTTACTAAAATTAAGAAGCAAATAATAAATTTATAAATACTTATTCTCTACTAAATTGTGAAACAATACTATAATAATTGAGCTAAGGTGGCAGACATCACATCAGAAATGGTATGAAATATACATTTAAAAATATATAAGAATCTTATAGATTATAGAATAAGATCTTATAATAATAACTTATAATACGATTATAGAATTTTATTTTATTTTAAATATAAAAAGTTAATGGTAGTTGTCATAAAAGTTACAAAATCATAATTATTATAATCTAAAGATATTATATTTTAAAATATTATATTCTTTTAATATTAACAATACTATGGTTCTTGAAAATAAATGCAATAATCTTTGCTAATGTTTTACAAATAGAGTATTATCATATCGTTTTATTAACTTATGACAAGCAACATTTATGATTATACTGTAATACGTTAATTATATTTTGGGAAACGGTATGTAATTAAATATAATAGAATTTATACTAATTTTGGAATATTCTAGTATTAGGCTAAACTGTACTGTAAAACCATATTAACATTTTATGTCAATCTATTAAGTTGTTTAATTAAGTTTAGAAATTTAATTGCTAATAAAAAAAATAAACCTTACTTAATTATTATGATCTTATTCAAGTATAAAGTCAGTCAATTAAATCTGCATCGACTATCTGTTTAATAGCTCGCTTATTAATTGTAGCAAAAATCTATACTTTGGCACACTTATAGTTCATTATGAGGTAGCCTTGACAAAACAAGAATATTCTTTATGGCATCAAGAATATTCTGTGATATTGGA